AGGGTACTAGTAAGGGGTACTTTTTTTTCCCGACACAAAAGAGTAGCCAGCCGAAGACGGGTTTCGTATAAATGGAAATATTCTAAAGAACACTGACAATATCATCTGCATGGAATGATGGATTTGGAATTGTTAAAAGGACTTTGAAATAATTGAGCGTGGATCACTGCTGTATATTTGGACGAATTGTGGACATTTGTTCCCGATATTACTTGATATGGAGAAGATGCCCGGAGAAAAGGCGATCGACAGGAGTGAGAAAGAGCTATCGAAGCCTGACGATGGGATTTCGTTCAGCGAAAAAAGCGAATTAGCCAAAGTTAAGAGCCTTAGCTGCAAAGAAAAGATCCTCGAATTGTAAAGCGACGTTGACCTTCACACGAGGAAGCAAATTATTTTACAAGTAAAAAGGGTTAAATAAAATGCCGCGCTGATAACAAGTTTCTAGAATATTCAGGTACACATGCCATCGGACATTCGACTGTATCGGATTTGGATTCCTAAAGTCAGAACACGTACAGCTTCGGGCAAGGATAAGCGTGAGTGCTACAGAGATGCCAAAAAGTTGCCGAAGAAATGCTCACGAAATGCGAAATGTTTTTTAAAACCGACACTGAATGCCAAAAAACAGATGCCAAAAACCAAATGAAAGAATGTAAACATGATATATTAAGTAACCAACACACAGAAAAAGTCATGAAAATTATAAAAAAAAAAAAAAAAAAAAACTAAGGAGAATGCTTTCCGGAAAGTGAATATGTTACAGTGCCCAAGCAGTTTCAAACAAATGAATTTCAAAACGGAATGTTTCTCAAGCCTTCCTGAGTTACTATAAATAAATACAGAGGTGATAAGTTATAAGTTTTTTGAAGGGTAAAACGGACAGAAACCTTCTCCTCTTCAACGTTTGCAAGCATTTCAACTATTAAAAGGGGATGTGACACGGCTGTTTAGTTGATTGGGTTAATGTTGCCAATAACACGTCTTTATCCTCTAAGGAAGTTACATAAGTGAGGAATTTACTTGTAAATGACAATCACAGCTTCTTATCAAACATTTAATATCTTTCTCAAAGCAATTTATATGAGACGTTACAAACAACAAAAATGAACTATGAAAAACTGTTAGACTTAAAAGGTTTTAAAAACCGCAAGTGCAGTCCGTTGTATTCTTTGTCTCGTCTTTGCCATCCCGCCTTCTCTTGTATTTACACTGTTTCTTTTTAATGTTTCGCGCCGATACTTTTATGTTTCCCTCAATTTGGTGACAGCTTCCACGGTTTGAATTTTGTTAAATTTCGTGACACAGCCTCTTTAAAGAAGCAATTTTTGATACACACAGCATTTGTTCAAACAATCTCAGTTGAAAACACCAACAACCACAAATTGCATTGTGCTAAGCTAGGCAGGTAGCAATAGACCTAGTCTGCTAACGCTCTTCGCCACTATTGTTAGTGGGGAAGAGCGTTGCGTGACGACACTAAAAACGGCTGCGTAGCAGACTACAATAGACCCTTCCTCGATTCTTTTTTTTTCAAGTTTTGGTTAATACCAATTAGCAAATATCCATTCGCACTGCTTGGAAGAGCGTCCTAACATTTGGAAACTCACCAAGTTTGAACTGAGCGAGCAAAGACAATTGCCTCAGAAAGTCGTGAAATCGAAATTTTACAGACGCTTGTATGGTGGGGTAAGCCTGTCCCGATGGTGCTCGGCAACTTTTGGAGCAACTTTTTGAGGTTGTAGCAGCCTGGGGCAATTTTTTGCCTTTCGATTGTTCTGAGCAATTTTTGAGCAAAATATAAGTTTCGAGCACATATCAAGCACGAAAGAGTCCATGATTTCAGAGAAAAATCTCAATCTATGCGAATTCGTTCAGAGCTTTAAGAGAAGATTGTCTTCTCTTTGGCAACTTTTAGTTTATGGAGCAAGTTTTCGTGGTTCTTAAGCAACCCCTAGCAATTTTTTGCCTTTCTGAGCTATTTTTGAGTAAAATATAAGTTTGGAGCACATNCGATGGTGCTCGGCAACTTTTGGAGCAACTTTTTGAGGTTGTAGCAGCCTGGGGCAATTTTTTGCCTTTCGATTGTTCTGAGCAATTTTTGAGCAAAATATAAGTTTCGAGCACATATCAAGCACGAAAGAGTCCATGATTTCAGAGAAAAATCTCAATCTATGCGAATTCGTTCAGAGCTTTAAGAGAAGATTGTCTTCTCTTTGGCAACTTTTAGTTTATGGAGCAAGTTTTCGTGGTTCTTAAGCAACCCCTAGCAATTTTTTGCCTTTCTGAGCTATTTTTGAGTAAAATATAAGTTTGGAGCACATATCAAGACAAGCAGGAAAGAGTCAACGATTTCAGAGAAAATTCAGGCTATGGGAGTTTCTTCAGAGAGTTAAGAGAGGATTGTCTTCTCTTGTAAATGATTAACAACCTTGGAACACCTAACATTTCGCAGGCCTAAAAAGGCAATCGTTGCCGTATGAATAATTATTAATTAGTACCACTTAAAATTTCTCCCAAAATTGCGAGCATCTCTTTATACATGGTGATGTTACACGAGACAATTAGCAACAACGATTTTTAACGCAACACAGCTTTGCAGCATTGTTGCCTTTTAGGGCTAAAATCTCAAATTAGATCTCTAGTGGTTCCTATAGTTAGGGGCCTGAATGAAAAATATGGGCTCAAAAATGGGAATTGTATGATATTCAACTGATTTTTGGTACTTCTTACGGGTGAAATAAATTTTAGCTACGCCGACAAAAGTCTGGTTCCTTTTGAAATTTCCCGATTACCCCGTTATTTTAGTGGGATTTCTCATCCCCTAGGACAAAAACAAAAAAAGCGTGTTCACCTCAATGACCTACAATGTAGGATGTAATGTTAGAAGCTTGCAGGTAAGTATTTCGTTCCTCTACTTCTAAGGGAAGTGATCACAGTGCTACAAAATTGGTCTATTGTGAAGGCAAAGTGCCAGTAAAATATGTACACGTAGTTTAAGCAACTTTGTACCAATTGATATTGTACAACTAATGTATTATTGATTTTGATCAACAATTGTTTAAGCAATAGAAAACGTTTTCCGTGTTTGCATAGCTGATATAAACACGAGAGGGGTTGGGAGAATTCGAGAAAGTTATGCAAACTCGAGACGAAGTCGAGGGTTTGCATAACCGTCGAGAATTCTCCCAACGCCTCGAGTGTTTATATCAGGCTATGCAAACACAGGAAAAAAGCTTTCTATTGCTTTTATAAAATAACTTTCACGAGAAAAAAACGTAAAACTCTTTATATGGCACTGATTAAAAGATAAATTCTTACCAGTTGCAAAATCTTGTCCACGAAGTCTTGTACGCGTAATCAGTTCTTGTTTTGCAAAAAGATGCTTTGCAAAATACCGATTTTTCTCGCTTAAAATGTCAGCTTAAGCGAAGAAAAATTGACTCACCTTCTTTGTAACGATTTTCCATGTTTCAGCCAACGAAGGAATTGGTAAATAAAGTAAAATTGTCGAGTTTTGAACTCGAAAACTTTTTCAAATTCGTGCTTACGTGATTAGCGCGCGAAATGCCAAGCAACTTGACGCCACAACCATGTTTACATACTCTCATGCAAACACTCCTCTCGGCCAATCAGAGCGCGCGTACTATCTTAGTTATTTTATAAATTATTGTACAACTTATGTATTATAGGATGGAGTAAAAATAAAATACAAAAATAAATACAAAATACAAATACAAAATATGTCAAAATAGGCCAGTGAGACCGGAGAATTTTGCTATCTCGACGGTTATTAATAACGGGAAGTTTCGCTGAAAGAATTTAACTAGTTTATTCAGAATTTCGTTTAAGCAATCAAGACAGAAGAGCAGCATAAAAGGTTGTGACATGAACATAACCAACAGTTGTTGAGGAACTATGTAAGACTATATTTTTTAGCATGACCTGGAAGAATCAAACTAAGTAGGTAAGTAAAAATAAATTAACTCAGCTATGACCGGAGGTCGCTGGCTCAATTCCCGGGACTGACCGAAATGGTAGAGTCTCCAAAACACATCAAAATAACTATGAAAGAAGCAACTACCTTACTCTCGCAGACCTTTTCTTGGCCGGCTTGGATGACCGAGTAAAGGGGCAGTGTCACAGGGCCGTCTAGTATCTTTTGTTAATAACACCAACTACGCGTCCTTATTCGCTATGGAACATGAGAAATTACTTGTCCGGAATGACAAACTCACATGCAACTTCTTTTCCAACCATTATGTCTAACGTTAACATAAACAACAAAAATGAACTTCGAAAACTGTTAGGATACTGAACATAGGTAAACATGTTTTTAAAGGTCACAATTCAAATCGGCGTTGATCTTCCTCAAAGTTTTTCCATCCGTGTCTTCGTTTGTATCTTTTCTTGTGTGTGTGAACCACTCCGATAAATCAGAAAGATTTGTTTTAACCCTAAAAGTGGGGCCTTTTCTGGGCCCTATTTTTTTAGTCTAATTTGGCTCGCTTAATCCGGGCCAACACAGTCTTAGGGCTGATTTAATTGGACCCAAGGGCTGAAATGGGCCCCAGTGTGGGCTGAAATAGCCTTTTGATGGGGCTGTTTCGGCTTAAATTGTGCTCATTACAGATAGCTCGAAGAGGGGCTGAATCAGATTTTGGCCTGCAAGGCTGAATTGGCACTTTGAGGCTGAAACAGATCCTTTTTATTTTAATGTATGTGTGAGTGTTATACCTTGTTATAATGTTTTGGGCGGTTATTTTTGTTTCAATCAATTTGGCGACAATTAATACTGATTTATGTTTGAATTTTGACTATAAATTTCGTTACACAGCTCCTTTAAATAAAGTATGTTTTTGACATTGCAGGATCAAAGGTATCTGTAGCTTGACAGTGACGAGATTTATCCACTTGCTGTTAATTTTCTCCCAGAGAATTAACCATGGAAAGCAAATGCTTCGTTTTGCTTGTTTTCCACCTGTTTGCTTATACCAGGTCGGGCCCATCCGGGTTTTCGAATTTGCTTCCGACAAGCTGATGACAACTCTCAGTATCAAGGAATATCAGAATCTTGTAGTGGTTATAGCCGCCCAAAAAATCCCTTTCGAGATGATACTGGCGGTAAAAGTGAACGCCATACATACCAATGGAGAGTCGAAGCGGGGGACCAAATTCTTAACTTTACAGAGTATCACCTCTGCTTTTCGGCGACAGGAAGCAGCGATCAGTGCTATGGAATACGAACCTCGTGCACCGGTTGGAGCAGCCAGCCGGGCCAGACTCAGCCTTTCCATGATTATACCAACACAAGCCCAGGTCACTGTCGTTATTCATGGATGATTCAATCACGTCCCTACTCCTACCCGTCGCGCTTTAAAGTGTGCCGCGTCTGTTTCAAGGAAACTCTTGGCAGCTCTCAGTGTCAGGGGACCCAAAGAAGCTGCAGCGGTTGGGCTGCTCCCGGCGGGAATCCCTCATGGACCTTGAGTTTCCATCACGATATACCGACTACCGAGGAGGTTGCACCTAATCCTTATCTGGTGAAACACACCAAGGCAATCGAAGCAATTCAGAGAAGAGCGTCCCGACTAATATGTGGCCCCGACAAAGAATATCCTGAAAGACTTTTAGAGTTAAAATGGGACTCTTTGGAACTGAGACGGAAATATCTTAGCCTAGTTCAAATGTATAAGATTATATTTGGTTACTGTGTTATCAATTGCCATCATTACTTTGATATTATTGGAATAACTCGAACTAGAAGTAAGCATGAGTATAAAATAAGGCCTAAAGTTGCCCGTACAAATTATTTTAAATATTCATTTTTTCATAGATATATTAATGATTGGACCTCTTTGCCTTCTGAAGTAATGTCATCTCC